CCCCCCGCGGTGGACGGACCTTCCGCGCTTGCGGGCTCCGCGGCCCGCGTCCACACGGCCTCTGGCCGCACGGCCCCAGCTCGCGGGATCCGTGTGTGGGCACCAGGGGGAGACTGCCCGCACCCGCCTTCCTCCTGGGGGAAGGCGGGTTCTGCCGAGCCCTGCGAGGGGGTCCTGAAGGCTGTGGCCGGAGGGAGAGGCTGGTCCTGCCCCGGAGGCCTCAGCCCCGTGGAGAGTGGGATGGGTCCAGGTGGGCGGGCAGAGGTTCTGGCAGAGGCAGGATTCACATAATGGGAGGGGCCTCGACATTCCCCAGGGCAAGCCATAAGGGAGTTGGGGAGGCCAGCAGGGCCCGCTGGGGAAGAGGTGGCCAGCCCGAGCCATCTGAGAGGCGGGCTCAGGTGGGCTCGTGTCCCCAGTCCTGCCTTTGCTCCTGGATTCCGGGCAAGTGCTTAGAGGGCCGGAAGCTGCTGGCGGCTCAGCTGTGCCCTCAAAGCCCCATGAACAGTGACTGATCCCGAAGTGGCTCCGGCCCCTGCCTGTACCCCATGGGGCATCGGAACCCGAGGAAACAGAAACGATGGCGGGCAGGGTGGGTCTCCCCGTGACGCCGCCGTTGTCAAGAGAGAAGCGCCCTGACTGCGCGGGTGAGATGGGTCGCGTGGCCTCCACGCCTCCTCTGGTTTGCTGGTCACACAGCCCGTGCTGACCGAGCACCCACTCTGCGGTGCAGTCTCACACAGCCATGGCTCTGTCGCTGCCCACTCTCCAGGCGCCAACACAGCCCGAGGGCAGGGGCGGGGGCTCTCCCAGGGCAGGACGATGCCTGGCACAGACCGAGCCCCTGCGTGCCGAGCCTGGCTCTGTGCACCCCGCTGGCCTTAAATCAGGAGACTTTCCCAGTCACTTGAAACTGACTCTGTCTGGGTGGAGGAGGCTGATGCCTGGAGATGTCAGGTAACCCACCCAAGGTCCTTCTGCTGTGTCAGAGCCGGGACTGGAACCCAGGCGATCCGTTCCCGGTGTCTAGGCACCGCTCGCCCGTCCCTAGTGTGCAGCCAGGGGCTTCCCACGACTCCCACTTGCCTTTTGACGTCTCATGATCCCACACGGAAGGAGGAGGACAGGCCTCTCCTTACGTGTGAGGGCGGTGAACAGTTATACCGCCTGTGGTGTGTGTGTGTGTGTGTGTGTGTGTGTGTGTGATTATTTCTCCCTGGTGCAAAGCGCTCTGACATCTGACCCCTTCTCGGGTCAGGGGCTCGATGTCAAGTCACATCTCGGCTCCTGCTTCAGGGAACGGCAGTTAAGGCCAAGTGTTCCCCCTGGATGGTGGAACTCATACGGGGCGCCGGAGCCTGGCTTCCTGGGTCCATGCTGCCTGCCTCACGGGGTCACCGGCCAGCGGCAGAGCCACTTGAGGGACACCCGCCTTTCCCGGCCCAGACTAATCTCCTCCTCCCCAGGACAGTGGGTCAGGGGGAGGAGGGTGCCTGGCTGAAGGTCAGGCTCCAGGGGACCCTTGATGGACAGCCACCTGTTATGCAGGAAAGTCCCAGGCACGGCGGCACAGGTGGGTGGGGGCCGCCCTTCCCTGAGCTCCTGGGGCCCGGGCCTGGCAGGGGAACATCAGCTGGTGAGGGTAGGCGGAGAGAAGGCTGTGGGGGGCAGAAGAGGAGGGTGGGGTGGTGCAGAGAGGGAGGGCTGGGCGAGGGAAGGGGTGTGCTTTCCAAAAACCACAGGCCGTGGGGGCTGGAAGCCCTGGCCGCCTCCCAGTCCTGGCTTCCCTGAGCTTTTGCAGTCACGGAACACTTATGCAGGAGGGCGCGCCTAGCTCCCAGGGGACAGGCCGGGTCAGAGTGGACCCCCCGAGCTGGAGTGCCTCCCATGCGACCTGTGCGGCTCCTGAGGGCCCCGGCGCCCGCTAGGGGCTCTGCACAGCACAATTAGGTAAATTCGTATCTGACCCCAGCTCTCAGACGGGGAAACTGAGGCCCCAGAGGGTGTCCCAGGTAAGGTGTCAACGGCAGAGCTGGTCTCCAGCCCTCTGTTCCAGTCCTGGTTGGCACAGCCCCCGCCCCTCCGTGGGGCTCACAGCCACCCAGGGAATTGTCCCCCGTGCCCCACGGCCACCCACCTGGAGCAGAGCCAGCTTCCTGCCCGCTCCCCACAGCTACTCTGCCCCAGCCCGTGCCCAGGGCAGGGCGGGGGTGCCCCTTGGGAGGGGGGACACGCCACACTTGCAGGGAGAGGAGCCTGTGTGGGGGTGGACACCCTGCCCAGCAACCCCAATGCCCCAGTGGCCGACTCAGGGAGGGGTGGCTGCGTGCCCCTGGCTCCCACCTACCGTGCCCTTCTCGAACTTGTTGGTGCGGTTCTCGGACTTGCCCAGGTAGCGCTCGCCGGTGTCCCCCAAGTCCCCGTAGATGGTGATGTAGACCTTGGCGTCCGTCCCCGCCCCGGGGACGTTCCCCGTGAAGATCTGCACTGAGTACAGCACAACTGGGTGGGGTGGACAGACAGACAGACAGGAGGATGGACAGGGAGGAGAAGGGAGACAGCCTTCAGAGAAAAGGCTCCGAGCCTTCCTAGCCTTGAGGGACACCCGCCACTTGAGGGACACCAGTCTTGCAGATGCCTGGCTCTGGCCCCAGCGTCCAGGCGGGCCTTCCTTTCACTTGCCCAAGTATGGAGGCGCAGCCTCAAGGTTCACGTGGGCTCCCGTGGGAAGTTCGCTCACCCGATCCGGACCTGAGGGCCTCTGATGGCAACTCCGCTGTGTGCCCCAAACCGTCTGCCCACACAGCTGCCTACAGCGTCCAGGGGGAAGGCACAGAGACCACCTGAGACACGTGCACGCTGTGGTCACGAAACCCACCTGCCAGGCATGCTCGCCATCCCCTGCTCTCTTGCGAGGGGGTGGCTGGTGTTGATGCCAGACCCTTCTCGCCGGTTTATGGGGAAAATAAGATACTTTTGAAAGAGCAGTTTTCACCGCTGGGCGAGGGGGCTCAGGCCTACTCGGGAGGCCGAGGCAGGGGGAGTGCTTGCCCCCGTGGGTTCGAGGTTAGCCTTGGGGACGTCTGTGGCCACCTCGACAAACAATGTCAAAAGATCAATAGCGTGTGATGGTCCCTGCCTGTCGTCCCAGCTACTTAGGAGGCTGAGGCAGGAGGATCATGTGAGCCCAGGAGGCTGAGCCCGCCGTAGGCTAGGGCTGTGGCCACTGCACTCTAGTCTGGGTGACAGAGTGAGACACTGGCTCTTAAAAAGTGAGAGAGAGAGAGCAGCTTCTCTATTCCCCTCCGTGAATTCCTTATTTTTATGTATTCTCCAGCCCACGGCTGCCCCCACCTGACTCTGCGCCCCAGGCCAACTCCCCAAAGCCACTGTGACTGCCAGCCCCTCCTTGGTCTCCCATGGCCTGCGGGGAGGGCTCAGTCAATATCCGCGGACAGTTGTTAAGGAAAATACAAACTAGCAGTGTCTTGCTTTTGTTTGGCCACTGTGGATTCATCAAGGAAGGAAAAAAGATCCATCCCAGCTTCCGCCTCAGCAGGGAGAGGCCAGACTTGCACTTTTCTGAGGCTAGGAAGGCTCAGAGTCTTTTCTCTGTCCTCTGTCCTGGGAGATTTGAGGCCCAGGCCGAGGAAGAGGGACCCGGCTGAGTCAACCCCAGGGTGGGGGGCGGGGGGCTGCCGAAGGGTTGGGCGGCCAAGCTGGAGGAGTGCAGGATTCGGGACCCCTTGCCCGCACACAGCCCCAGCGGGAATGGCTACTTAGCACGCCTGGCCGCACAGAGAAACAACGCCTGTGTGCTGGGTGAAGCGGCAGCAACACGTGGCAGGGAGCACGGGTGGGGCTTCCCCCTGAGGGAAGGGCAGGCCTCTCCTGTGAGCCTCTGGATGCCTAGAAGACCCTGGAAAGGGGTCTCCTCCCTGCCGTGACTGGTGGGCATTCTTATCAACCCTCCCCTGCAAGCGGGCTCAGATCCACATTCAGTGACTGCAGGAGAGGGAGGGGTGTGAGTTGCTGGTTCCCAGAGTTGTGGACACACACCCTACACAGCTCTGTTAGCTTCTTTTTCGTTTTCTGGCTTTTTTTTCATGGGGTCTCACTCTGTCCCCCAGGCTGGAGTGCAGTGGTGCGATCACAGCTTACCACGGCCTCAACCTCCTGGGCTCAAGCGACCCTTCTGCCCCAGCCTCCCGAGTAGCTGGGATGGCAGGTGTGAGTCACCCTACCCAGCTAATTTTTACCTTTTTTTGTAGAAAGGACGTCTTACTTTGTTGCCCCAGTTGGTCTCAAGCGATCCTCCTGACTTGGTCTCCCCAAGCGCTGGGATTACAGGCATGAGTCACCACAGCCAGTAGGCTCAGAAAAGTCAGGGAGTCACCGAGACCTGTGGTGCCAACAGCTCACACCCCGCCCGGCCAACTGCCCCTTTCCCGCTTTCCCGCTGACAGCCCAGCACCCTCCCTCCCGCTTGTCTTCCACCTCTCTGGCACTCCACCTGGGTAGCCTTGTGGGGTCCTGGCCTCCCACCTGCCCCGGGAGCCAAGGACTCCCGGTTCCGTCCGCACCCTCGGTTCTCAGCCTGCACCCCCGGGGTGACTTCTCCGAGTTCCCTGAACCCACATCCTCAGCCCTGGTCTGACCCCTTGGCCTCTGGATTCACATACGATGGCCTGGTGGGCGGCCCCACCCTGGCCAGACCAGAGCATCACAGACGCACAACGCACACAGTCAGGCCTAGCCTGGCCCCCTGCACCCTTGCCCCTTTCCAAGCCTCTCTGCCATCTCCCTGTCCCAGCGGCGCCCCCCAACACCGCTCCCCAGGGCTCCTCAGGGGAGCCTGGTCCCGGAGATCAGGGACCAACTCCTTGGCACCCCCAACCCCGGCACGGCCCGTGCGGAATCCCATGGGCGTTCCAGGTGCTGCGTCCAGAAACACAGTCTCCACTTGGCTGTTTCAACAAGTCAGCAGCGTCCAGCCCGTCTCGCTGACCCGGGCCTGAGCGGACCTTAGGACTCCAGTCACCATTCTGACACGGCTCTCCTCCCCCTCCCCCTCAGGCTGCGCCAGCAGACCCCACGTGTGTGTGCATCTGCCCAGGTCTGGCGGGCCTGTGAGGACACCACTCCCAGCGGCCCGTGTCCCACAGCAGGAGGCCGGGCTGCCAGGGGCCAGGACGGAGTGGCTGCCCTACCCTCCCTCGCCCCCAGCTGTTGATGGTCCTTTAGGAATCGGGGGCATGGGTTCAGCCTTGGGGTGCCAAGCGGCTGTGCAGGGGGCTGTCTACTTCTGGATCCTGCTCTCTCAGCATCCCACCTGGCTGTGGAAAGGCGCTTCCCTGGAAATGCCCTCAAGCCCAGAGTGGGCCTCGTGGCATGCTGTCCACACAGGACAGCCAAGCCCCTTCCGGGACAGCTTCCCTTGGGTGTCCTCGGGGTCCGAGCATCAGAGGAAACTGCCCCCAGATCTAACAGCAGAGAACGTCCGGAGGGGGTATGCATGGAGAAAGGCACGCCACGGGGCCCCCACGGCGCTGCCTTCCAGGTGAGTGGCCGCTCGGAGGAGGCAGGCCAGCACAGAGGCTGCTTTGCGCGGGGCGATCAAGGAGGAGGCGGGCTTTGCCTTTTGATGCCTCATCAGCTCACTGGGCAGAAAGACTGAGCCCCGGCTCCACATGGGGCCTGGAACTGGATTTTGCTCCACTCCTTCCGAGGAGACAGCACAGCCAATGTAAGGCAGACGCCAAGCTCTCGGAGGACTCTGACCCGCGCAGGCTGCCCTGCTGGAGGGACCCGGGGTGCGGCCGCCGTGGGAAGGAGCTGGCTCTGCAAGTGAACCTGACTGTTGCAGTAGCTAAAGATGAGCTGAATGCCAACACTTTGTGAGGCCGAGGTAGGAGGGTTGCTTGAAACCAGGAGGTCAAGGCCAGCCTGGGCAACGTGGCCAGATCCTGTCTCCGTGAAAAATGAAAATAAATAAATAGCTAAAGACTCTCCAGAGCTGAACAGCTGGTGAATAATTGGAGACTGACGCCCACGAGGCCACCACGGGTCAAGACAGGTGTGACTGTCCACGCGGTCCAGGAAGAACGGACCCGTACAGACCACGTGGAAAGAAGGGCGAGGAGGCTGGGAACGGAGCTTGGGTGGGCCACCCAGCCTGGGAAAGGAGCTGGCACTCGGGGCACTGTGCAGACAGGGGGAGGTCGCCAGAGCAGGCGGTGTCCCCAGAAAGAGGGGGTGCAGGAAGGACAGAGCCAGGGGCCGCAAGTCCCGCAGAGAAGCCCGCGGGGAGGAAGAGCCGACAAGTACCTGGCCCCCGGAGCGGAAGGCCCTGCACTCGGGGCACCCAGGGCACTCGGCGGTCTGGCTACATGTGCCCAAGGTGCGTGAGACTCACAGTACGATGGGACAGTGGGCACAGCCAGAGCAGCGCGACCAGGCCACAGGGATCGGAACGCTGGGGAAACAGAGGCCAGGACAGTCCTGGCACAGGACGCCCCATAGCTGGGCGAGCTGTCGTGGGGTCAGCCCAGGGAAGGCTGGGGGCACAACCCTCAACCACACAAGCACACAACTGCACAACTGTACAACTGCACAACCACCTAGCCACACAACCGTATAACCACACAAACAACTCCACAACTGCACAACCCCACAACCTCACCACACACACAACCACACAACCCCACAACTGCATAAGCACACAACTACACAACCGTCCAACCGCATAACCCCACAACCACACAACAGCACAAGCACATAACCACACAGCCTCACAACCGCACAACACACACAACCACGCAGGCCCACAACTGCACAACCCCACACCCACACAACTCCACAACTGCACAACCACACAACCGCACAACCATACAACTGCATAGTCCTACAACCACACAGCAGCACAACCACATAACCACATAACCATACAGCTGTGCAAACAACCCCACAACCGCACAACCACACAAGCGCAAAACCCCACAGTCCCACAACCGCACAACACACAACCACGCAACTGCACAACCCCACACCCACACAACCCACGACCACCCAAGCACACGATCGCACAACCCCACAACCGCACAAGCACACGGCCGTGGTGTCAGCCGGCAGAGATGCTGCTGTCTCTTAGCTTCGCAGACTCAGGCAGGGGCCTCCACCCCGTGACCTCGGCGGCCCTCCCACAGGAAGGGAGACACCAGCAGACCCTCTGGGCAGGCCACACATCCACACACATCCTCCGTGTCCCTCTCTACCGAGGGGAGATGACGACAGCACCCCGCCGGAGAAGGGCTCGGCCTGCATGGGCAGGCGGG